CTGTATAACAAAAAGGTGGGATTTGAACCCTCATCTATGTTAAACTCCACTGGGGTATTTCATGACCTGTGTGGATCTGTAGAAAATTCAGGTGTTGCAATTCTTTTAATTCATTGCTGAGCCCCATGAATCATTGTCTTTTGTGAAACTAGAGTGCCAGCTGTGTACATCTTGATTGGAAACAGAGTGAGAAAGTTGGTTAACTAGTTAATATCCTCTACAGCCACTTTTTTTTTTTTTTTTTTTGGCCAAGTAAGAAAAAAGCTAACTAATGGGGAAGTAGAGGCCAGATTGGGGAGAGTAAGCCCAGGTATTCATAATTCTAGGTGGGTAAGTGTCCTTGAGATCACAGAGGAGAGAGTCATATATTCTACCAAGGCCTGGGGTTGGTGATAATTGGTTCTCAGCAGATCGGTTGGGGATTTGGGGAGTTTAACTCAAGCACACAATATGGCAGCTTAGGAACGAGCCAGGGCATGGTTTTGAGCATTGCAAGATTTAGGATGACCTGTATGTCAAAGGTGACACCTTATCCTTTTGCTAGGGGTAGGCGGTGGGTTCTGGGCAGATCTGCCATCCAAATACAGAAGGGGTCATGGATATGGTGACAACAGCCTCCACTGTTACTTTTGCACCCAGTCATGCTTGGCACCCTGCTTGGGGGTGAGGCCTTGAAGGCACAGTGGCTGGCACTCAGCCAACGTACATGGCTTCGGCTCTAACAGGGTTAGGCTCTGTGATTTTGCTTGCTTGTCGCTCTTGATCATTTTTCTCTCCTGCCTTTTATTTTTCCCCCAGACCTTTTGGTACCCAATGATTTTTGATTAATTTATTTACCATTGTTGGGTGATTGATGTTGTTTTGTGCTGGTACTTTGTAACTTTCCAATTCTTCTAGTTGTCAAGGTGACAGCCCTCTGATGATGAATTAGATCCTGTCCCTTGCCCTTTTTATTCTCCCTGTGTGCCAAGGCTCTAGGTTTTCAGCAAATATAAATATTTCTAAATGCAGACTTAATGGTCGGCGTATACAACAAAATCCGGAAAGATCTATGATACTTTCATACTTCTTTACGTTCACACTGAAATTCAATACATTGTGTTTTTTCTCTATCTGTTCTACTTTAGATTTCGGGAATCCACTTCGCTTTTGGGAATCCCCTAAGCTATTTTCCTGCTCCTCTGGGGTCTTCTCCTAGGCATAGTTTTCCATTCTCACTTCCTTGTCTCTTGTTGTCTGCCTGAGTTAGATGAACTCACATTCCTCTACATAATGCGTAAGCATGGGATGGTGGTGAAAAAAGGTACTTTTATTTGTTAAGTCTTTATTTACCTCACATAATGAGTGGTACTTTTCTGTTAAGTTCATAAAATATTTATTGAGGACCTATTATGAACCAGGGAAACCCCAAGAACCTTTGTACAAGTTGGCCATGTTAATATCTATTTTATATGCAAGGGAACTGAGGCTCTGGTAGGGTAATCAATATGTTTTAATTCATACGAGTAGGAAATAGTAGAATAGGGATTTGAGCTCAGCCTTTCTGACGTTAGCAGTTTGCATTGTTTCCATGACACTGTTCTGAAGGTGACCAGGGACGGACGAAGGAACTCCTAGAGCCTCAGAATTTGGAGGAAACCATAAACTTTCTCTACGTGGGTGGTTCTCAAACTGGTAATTAGATGCATGCTTGGTCAGCTACATAAAAATCACAGGGAATGCTCATTAAAATACAGATTCCTGGGTCTTTCCACAATTGTTAAGTCTGGATTGGCCCAGAACTTTTATTTTTAAAACATTGCCTATGTTATTCTGATTCTCAACCAGGTTCGTGAACCAGTGTGATAAGCCAACTATTATCTGGAGTAGGACTTTTCTTGACACCTTCATTGAGAGATGTCCATACAGCTTCTGGGATGAGAAGCACAGCCCATGTTGTAGCTTCCAGTAGTGGGCAGCCCTTAATAATTCTGGAAAATTCTGTCTCACATTGACCTATCACCAGTTTCTCTGTAACTATAGTCTGTGACATGTATAATGCAAATAATAGGTGCTACTGATTGTGCACTCACTGTGTGCAAACTTGTGCTAAGTACTTTAGATCTGTTTTACCACTCAAATGCCTCCGCAACTCCCTGAGGCTGGTATTATTATCATTTCTATTTTGCAGATGAGCTCATTTCATCCTGGAGATACAAATGGTATGTTTCTTTCATCTAGTCTGTATCAGCTCTTCAGATGTTTTCAGGTAACAACCTTCCCAGTTTCTCTGGCTGATAAAATAAAGTTGCAATAATTCACTATGACCCAAAATTTACCAGGTGCTGACTTTTTCCAAGGCAGATACTAACTTTGCAAAGATGAAGATCCCTGGTTCTTAACAATCTACAATCGGGGGGCAGGGGGACAGAAAGCATCAGGATAAATAACTTATGCATTTGGGAGCTTAACACCTAGGTGATGGGTTGATAGGAGCAGCAAACCACTGAGCACATATTTACTCGTGTAACAAATCTGCACGTTCTGCACATGTATCAAGAACTTAAAATGTAATAAATTTTTAAAAAATATAACACAGAAACAATCTACAATTGAGTGAGGGAGATCCAGGTAAACTTGGACTTAGCTTTGTGTGTGAGCCTTGCCTCTTTAACTGGACTATGATTCTTTGTGGGCAGAGCCTCCAGATTCTCCAGTTTTCTTCCCTACAGTGGAAGGGTTTGAATAGATGATGGGGACTTAGTGAAGACACATTATCCTGGATTGATTGTGAACATTTATTTCATCCAGCAAACTCTTTTTTTGGCTTTCATGTTTCCTAGGTGAGTCAAGTGATTGGACAGAGAGGAGGGTATGAGGCTCTCCCTGGATCCCTAAAGCCTCAGCCTTTGAGAGGGCTCATGAATTTCCTTGGAGTCCCTGCATCTGTGATGTGGGGAATGTCTCCCTGTGAGATACTAGCTGGCCACAGCTTCCTAAGCAGGAAGTAATGTATCACAATAGATGAAGTGCAGGATGTATAAGCAAAAATATGTGGGTATCCCATCTACATCATTGACTTCCTCCATGGTCTTGGACCTATCTTTATGCCATCACTGTTGTCATCTGCCAAACGGGAATACCAGTTCTTTTTCAGTTCTTCAGGATATGCAGAAGGAAGTATTAGTTATTATTAATGTACTTTAAACTCCTCGGTGACACTAGCTGCATACATATAGATCTTTCTTGTTTTAAACAAGAGATGCTAAACAAAACCAAGGAATATTAAATTATAAATTTACAGAAGAGATAAATTACAGAGGTAGTTATTATTTAAATTGCAGAAATATTTCTCATTTTCAGCCCAGGGTTCCTTTACAAAGCAATCTGTCTTGTGCTTTTAAAAAAAGTAATTTAATTTAAAAAAATTTGATTTGCATGCAACTTTTTAGAAACATTTATCATGTAAAGTGAGACATCATCTGACTAAATTAGAGAATTTACCAATATGTTTTGGCTTTGGATGAATATCACTTCCTCCAAGGATGTGAATACTGGCAAATTGAATCTCACTTCTCCCCTTCTCAAACTGAGACTGTCCAAGTCCAGGTTTGAAGCATCTGGTCTGAGAATTAGTAGCCATGGTGGAAATACTTGGATTCATGATCTAGATATGTCAATAAATCAGTCATGACCTCAAAGAAGTCAACTTCCCAAGGCCTCAGTTTTCTCATCTGGACAATGAGATTGCTGGAGTTGATGTTCCTTCCAGCTTTCAGGTTTTTCAGTAGTACTCATTGCTAAAGGAAGTGATCTGAAATCACAAAGGGCAAGACCTGGCATCCTGTTGATGTGTAATAAATCCATACATCATTCAGTGAATAAAATTACGATGTTCATTTATTTCCAACCAATTCTCCAAGTTGGAAATGCTCCAAGTTTATGATAAAGAAAATAAAATGAGTTCAGAAAACCCTTTTCCTTATTTTGCACTGACTTGATCTCTCTTGATGATTTCTTGCATCCTTAAGTCTGGTGAGAAGATTGGTTCTGTGCACGTATTGGGGTTCCCTCCTTTGTAAAGAGTCCTGCAAACTGAAATGCTGAGTTCGTCCTAGATTGTTACTGTGCCTTTTACATTTCAACTGATGCAATTGCAGATGATAGTTGCAAGTAGCGAAGATACAGAGACATGGTGGCAGCTTATTCTCCTCTCCTCTTCCCCGATTTCCCCACCCCGGCCAGCGCCTGCCTTTGCATTTGCCGCTGCTGTCCAGCGTGCCAGCCTCCTGTCAGCCTGAGTCGTCTGTGCCTCCCTTCCAAGCCATGAATCATCAGAGGTGCTGTGGCTTTTCCAGCTTTGCATTCCTGGCAGAGGTGTTGTTTCTTCCTAAAAGTGGAGGGGAGGGAGTTGCTAAGGAACACCATTAACATGCTGACAGCACAACAATCTCGGAGAGTTTTGGCCTCAGCCGTTTGACTCTAATCAGGAAATCATTTTTAGAAAGATTTGTCAGTGTAAGAAAACAAGCTCCTGAACTAAATTAGGATCTGGATTATTTTCCCTCTTCTCTCAATCTGCAGTGCAAGTCAGACTGGTGAGCCATCATGGTTTTGTGTGTGGTGAGTTTGTTTCTACTGCACATTTTAATTCGGAGCTCCTGAAGGTGTCTGTGTTTATAAGGACTGTGTTTTTGGAGCTGCTCCCTTGGAGGTTTGGTGCTTGTTTCTCCTTCCCTCAAACTGCTTGGCTTTTTTGGCAAGGCAGCCTAGGCTTCAGGACCCTTTAATCTGATTTTCCTCTTCTTTTTCTTTTCTTTTTTCACCCCAGTAATGAATTCATTGCATGTCTCTGGGAAATTACGGTAATCCATTATACTGTTGTCTCCCTATCTTTGAAGCAGGAATAATGGTATTTAACCCACCTTTGCAGTATACTGAGTGGCCTGTCAGGGTTTCTTCTTTAGAAGGACAGCTGGAAAACATTTTAATAAATGCTCCTTAACTGTATGCTTTAAAAATACATGGGGTCAAATGGCAAACAGCTCAGTAATAACTAGTTCGGCAAACCAGACTAGCCATTCATCACTCTCGGCTACTTCTGTCTTCTCCTCTTCCTCTCCCCACATCCTTCCATTTCCCTGGGGACATGTTATCCCCATTTGGGGTTAGAGTCTTTGGGCGGAAGCTAGAATTTTGTTAGTTGCAGACCAGCCCCTGCTGCACATGCAAATTTCATCATCTTTTAAGCTGCAGGAGTAAGTGAGTTTCATATCCTGTGATGCCTCTGGCAGACAGCATTTAAAGATGGAGACGTGAATGACAAGCTCGTGGTGTTGCACAGATGATGCGTGGGACTGGACCCTTGTTCTCCATTATATGCCTGAGGTTTCATTTCCAATACAATTAGGGACCTAATAATCACACTTAGGGATGTCCACCTGTGCATATCAGGATGCTTTACTCGCATCACCCTTCATCTCATGAACCTCAGGCCTGAGACTGGCATGACCTTCCTGAAGAACAGGGTGAAACGTGCTTTCTAACTTTATCTTTGTGTCTCCTTTTCTATGCAGATAAAGGGGTGGGAGTGCACAGACATTCCATGGACTGAGGACAATTCTACCCAGAGTGCTGTGTGAACCCATCCTAGGGATGAGAAGACAGCCAAGGCTAAGCCCTTGTGTTACTTGCAGGGCGGGCGGCTGAAAGGGTCATGGCAGCCAGTTGTGCATGAAGGCTTTAGATGGGACACTTACCTGCACTCGGAGACCCCAATACTCAACCATTAGAGATTCATTCCTTCAGGTTTGGGGGTCTTTGGGAATTTTCATGTCGGCTCTGAGAAAAAGATTTCTCTTGGGCTTTGTGCGGATACTGCGGGCTCCTCTCATTGGATGGTCCTATGTTGAAAAATGCCACTTCCACCCTCTTCAGACTTCTGAATAGAAAAGCTTTACCTGTAAGAGGACTCATGACCCAAATAAAAATCCAGGTAAACCTGAATTTTCTCATTTCTCCAACTTGTATGAGTTGAGTAGACAATTTAGAGGAGTTGGGAAAAGAGATGAGTTTTGATGAGTTCTCAAGGAAAAAAATAGGTGATACAGGAATTGCTCCTGCTCAACTTCAGAACAACCACATGTGCAGGATCAAGGGACAGGACAAGCCTGACGTTCCCCAGGACGAACAATACTTGAGGTGTTTCACTCTGAACTGCTGGGATAAGTACTCCACCAGCAACTGAGCTCTCTAACCAAACTATGGAGCTGTTGAAGAAGGACTTCTCTCATTGCTACTGTAAGGTTAGGGGACTAGACCTAGTGATTAGCCAGCTCAGTGGATTTGTGTGGGTGCACACATACATGTATTTCAGCAACAGAAACCCTTCCCTGCCCATTTAGCTTATGTGGAAGGCCTACATATTAAACAGATAAAAGCGGGGCCATCTCACTGAAGTGGAGGAGGGGGTGGAGAACTAAAGTCTCACCACTTGGCCCTCCCTTGCCTGTCCATCCCTACATGATCCTCTCCCTACAGCTGCTCCCAAGGTATGTCTGTGGAATCCTAGGGCTAAACACCCTTGTCACGCTTTACCCTTGCACTTTTACAGATGAAGTCACTGAGGCTCCGAGAACTACTTAGTTTGCTTTGCACCATGCACATAGGACATGCTCAACAAATAAATCAAACACATCTGTTTCTTAACTGTGAGGTAGAAGAGTTACACTAAAAGAGACAGAAATTTGCTGTGAACCTAGGTTTTTGACTTCAGTGGAAAGAGAAGGGACTTCCGGTCTCCTCTCAATTTTCCCTGCTTCCAGGAGCCCACCCACTTCCTTCTGGGCTGTCACTGCTGTTTACACAATGCGGCTGGGACTGAGATGAATGCACAGGAAGGGACTTTCCTTCGGTGCTAATGCAGGAAGGAACATGGCATCGATCTATCTGCAATTATAAGCTCAATGTGTTTCCCTCGAATTTTTAGACAAACCAAAGGTACTTTGCAAGTGCAGTAGAGCTTCCAATTAGGCATTTAAGTTCCCCATTTCTATTTCCCTAATGACTTGGCTCGTGCTCTTGCTTTATGAAATGAAAATAGCTTTATTTGGGCATGAGAATGCAGCTGATTGCATGCTTAATATGCTTTTGCAACAAGTTTCTGTCTGTTTCTAGTATAATGCAATGGACAGAATAATACATTTCCATGCTTGTTTTTTTCCTACATATTCATGATCATTTGCTCCAGCTCCATCCTATGCTGAGGGTGGTGTGGTCTAGGTAGGAATGTCCAGAGGGCTGGTGTTTTAAGGCTTCGGAAGGAAGGCCATTCTCTAAGCGTTGGGAACTGGCCCCAGGGCCATTTTTGTGGGGGAGGGTATAGGGTTGTGACTTACTGATAAGGTTTGATTCTGTGTCCCTGCCCAAATCTCATGTTCAATTATAATTCCTAGTGTTGGGGGAGGGACCTGGTGAGAAGTGACTGTATCATGGGGCAGATTTTTTTCCTCTTGCTGTTCTCACGATAGTGAGTGAGTTCTCACAAGATTTGGTTGTTTAAAAGCACTTAGCACTTCCCCCTCTGCTCTCTGTCTCCTGTCACCGTGGTAGATGTGTTTGCTTTTCTTTTGCACTGCCACCGTAATTCCAAGTTTCCCGAGGCCTCCCAGCAATGGCTCCTGTGCAGCCTGTGGACTGTGAGTCAATTAAACCCCTTTTCTTCATGAATTACCCAGTTTTAGGTAGGTTTTTTTTATAGCAGTGTGGAACGCACTAATACACTTTATCAAGTGTTGAATGGTAGGTATCGGTGATAGGTCTGGGGCAAATCACTCGGAAGAGGTAAAACAGGTGCGGAGGACAAGCAGGAGGTGCTGAAGGACATCAGCTGCGTTTTAAGAGCGCAATAGCAGGAATGAAGAGCCCCTCTAGATCAAGCTCTGTGAAGCTATTAGGGTTAAGAGTTAAGAAGGTTTTTCTTCATTGGAGGAACAGACCAGAAAGTAAAAGTTGTGCCCATTTCCAACTTTATCGATAGCTTCGAACACTGCACAGAGTCTACTGTAGTTTCTGGAAGGCCAGAGGTCATTCCTCCTTCAGCTGTTCGGTTTGCAGAAAACCTTGCATCATCTGTGGCCCTGAAATATTTCATACACCTGGGCAGCACTTTAGAAAGCCACTCAAGAAACCCTCCAGTCTTCTCTCTGCCCAAATCCTCCCCTTCCTTCCAGCCCTGTAGAAGCAGAGGAGCCTTCTGGGATGCGGCGGCCGATGCTCTGCGTGCCTAATGCTGTCACTCTGCACCATGGCGTCTGCGCTGTCTGGCCACATCACGGTTAGAAACATGTCATTTTCTTCTCTGGTACCCAAGGATGAACATTTGGGCACAGGCTGGTGTCCCAGAGAAGAGAGGAGGAAGGAAAAGCAACCCGTGCAGCCTGTGGAACTGGGAACTGTGAGTCAATTAAAGCTCTTTTCTTCATAATTTATGGAGTCTCAGGTAGTTTTTTAACAGCAGTGTGAGAACGGACCAATACACTTTATCAGGTGCTGAACGGTAGGAATCAGTGATGGGTCTGCGACAGAGGAAGCCTGTCGCATGCCTGACAGGAAGTGGAAGCGGATACTGGGAAAGCTGGAGCCGGCACAGCCCTTCTGGTCATCCTGGCGCGCAGCGGCGGGTTGAGAATGGCCTCAGGTTTCCTGTTGCTTCTGCCTGAGTGGGGCATCAAGGTTTTCACACTGCTTGTTAAATGCAGAGCTCTCCATGGAGAGGACCGCAGCTGTTCCCCTGTTGTCTGGGTGCTTTGCAGAATGGGGCATCATCTGTCTCTGCCATGGTCTGTAGCTGCTCTTGGCTTTCTCATCTAAGGTGCCCTTGATTAGACCTGAGATTATAGAGGATCTTGGCCATTGATGCAAGGCAGATGTGGCTAAAAAGTAGAAAAAGGAAAGGAATCTTATAGGCTTCAGTCTCTTCTTTCTGGGAGCACTCTGGGCCTTCCTCAAAGTGCATCCCGGTGCTAGCTGGCCTGCTGATGGGAAGGCCTGCTTTACAAGTCTGAAGGAGACCTCGAGGTCATTGTGTCCATTCCCCTGCCTTCAGGCAGGATTAGAGATAAGCTGCCTCTGCCAGAGGATAATCTCTTCTACTTGTAAAAGCTTCCAGAGCAGACCTGAATCTCTCTCGAGACCATTCATTGCAACTTTTAACAACTTTCACCATCAGGAAATTCTCCCCCATAGCTATCCTAAATCCCTTATACTGGGGATTAAGCTCCTTTTCTTATTCTATCCTTAGTAGCCACTGCCAAGACTTAGCCTGCACTACCTAAGAACTCTTCTGATACCTGAAGATTGCATGAAATCCTGCCTGCCTGTCTTCCCTGATGAATAATCCCAGCTGCTTTTTCTCCCAGGCCCTGCAGCCCAGCTTGCTTGTTACCTTCGAGGCCGCCCTCAGATTCCCTCTAAGTGTGAGTTTCCCTGGTGGGGAGCCTAGACCAAGCACAGGAGGCTAGTAAGTTTCTGGCCCATCTTAGGTGTAGTGAGAATCTTTCTGGAGCTCATAGCATGGAAAGCATCTTCCTGTTCATGCAAGTGAAGTGGGTTTGTGTATTAGTGACGGTTTTATTTGTGGGCCGTGGTCAGCCTTGACCCCTCCAGCATACTAAATTGTTTTTCTTTATTCTCCTTGGATGTTCAGGGCAAATTGTCTCATCTCCCCAACCAACGTCACTACATTCTTTAATGTGAACTGACACTGACCACAGCCACCACCAGAAATAAGGAGGAGGCAGAATGATGACAGTTTTGTGTACTTGTGGCTCTTTCGGAAGGTTTGGACAAAAGCAACCTGTATTTACAGAGCCAGCAGCCTGGTGCCACATCTGATATAGGCAGAATCACCTTCTTGGTCTGGTCGCTTTTCCTTCCTCACCTCTTCACTGCTTTCTCTGACCTTCTGGCCTTTCTGTGCTCTTTTTAGGGGTGCCAGGGCCCCACACTGTGCTCCTGTTACCTCCACAGCACTGGAGAGTCCTACATGCTCCTTTCTGAGCACACTTTGCCCCATGCCTCCCCAAACCCAGACTAACTTCCATTTGCTACTTTCTGTGGATCTCAGTTCCAAACCACCAAGCCACTCCTGAGTGACCTGCACGGCCAGAATGTGCTCCCTCTGTACTAGGTGGGGACAAAGGTGAGATGGCCAACTTCCTCAAGGCGAGTGTAGTTGAGACAGGGACTGAAGACTCAGGCATGGTGAATTCTAAGCAGCCAATGTAATTTGATCTAGTTTGCTGTAGAAGAAAATAGATGTCCAAAGGCAGTCTACCTACAAAGGCTAAATGAGTTAGTCAGGCATTCAGTGCAGCAGACTACAGGCTGGGCATCAGAGGAAGCCTCCTGGAGGAGGTTGACTTGAGTATGAGCTGGGCCTTGGGCACAGTTGGGTGTAGGGTGAGCCTTGATTAGGGGAGGCAGAGGCTCTTGAATGGCTCAGGGCTCCTGTTGTTCTCCCCCAACACCTTGATCTTTCCAATTCTCTCCATCTCCAGTTTCTGGAAGGAATTTTCTTCCTTTTCATTCCACTAATAAATAAATAAATAAATATTTCATAAGCATCTAGGTGCTAGGAGTATTCCAGTCCACGGGCTTCCTGTAAGTTGCTGTGGCACGCTAGTGGGGCTATGATAGAATTCAGGTATTCAGGACTTTGGTTCTCTCAGTTCCTGGACTGGATGAGCAGTACCTGCTTGGTTGGTGGGCTCCTGGGCTTTGGTCATCTTTAGTTGCTGAGCAGTCACATTGGTTGACCACACTGTGTACTGTAGTATGATCGTTTTCTGCATGTACTGTATGTGGTTGGAGGTAGTATTCCAGGCCTCGGGATGCAGAGGTAACAAGACAGGCAAATACTCCAGTAGGGGTATGGCAGGCAGAATTCTAAGATAGCCCTCAAGATTCCCACACACTGGTGGGCATGCCCTGTGTAACCGTCTGTTCCCTTGGGTGTGGAGGTAAGCTGTGAACATGATGGGACAGTCACTACCATGATTAGGTTATGTTACATGGCACGGTTGACTTTTAAGGTGATTCTGCTGGGTGTGCCTGACATAATCAGGTGATCCCTTCAGAGGAAGTGAGCTTTTCCAGGTGGCAGATATTCAAAGTGTGAGAGGGATTTGATGTGGGGAAGAGTCTTCCATTTCCTGCCTTGAAGTTGGAGGGGCTGTGTGGCAGGGAATGTGGGAGGCCTCCAGGAGCGCAGGGCAGACCCTGCCTGACTGCCTCTGAGGAAATAGGGGCCTTAATCCCACCACCACAAGGAGCTGGATTCTGCCACAGCCACTTGAGCTTGGAAGTGAGCCCAAACTGTAGATGAGAATACAGCCACTCGATGCCCTGATTTTAGTCTTGTGAAACCCTGAGCTAAGACCTCAGCCACTCTGTGTCCAGACATCTAACCTAGAGAACTGTGACCTGGTAAATGGGTGTTGTTCTAAGCTGCGGAGTGTGTGGTCACTAGAAAAATGTAGTTGTGAAAGATTAGAACAGTGGTAAGAATTCTGCAGAGGATTTAAACCCAGGAATGTAAGATAGAGTGGATACTGTGACATCTTTAGAAGGGGTGGTCATATGAGGCACTGTGACATCTCAGAAGGGGTGTCAAGAAGGACCCAGCCTGGTGATGATCAGGGGAAAGAGCAGAGGAGGGCAGCAAAGGCCCTGAAGCTGCCCCAAGCCTAGGGTTTTCCAGGTACAAAAAGCAAATTAGCGTGGCTGGAGTGTCTATAGAGGCAGAAACCAAGTCAGATAGAGATTTTTTAGAGTGAGCATAAATTTTGGATTTTATTTTCAATGTAGAGGAAGCCAAGGAGAATGGTAAGCGGGGCAGTGGCACATCTGTACAACCTGATGTATGTTTTAAAAGATTCCTGCAGACCCTGGCTGGAGCTTGGGTTGCAGCTGGGGAGTGTGGGAGCGGGAATCTGAGGAGAAGGACATTGCATTGTCCAAGGGAGCCCTGCTGGACTCTGGGACTGGGAAGGTGGAGGAGAGGTGAGCGATGTTGACTTGAGTGGTTTTCCCTTTCCCCTTTCTTCTCTTTATTATTATTATTATTTTTTAAAAACCTAATTCTGTTCTCCCCTCTTTTTCTCCTTATACATTTACACACCCTCATGTTTTCCTTTAAGGATACAGGACAGTCTCCTCCGACCTGAGTCATGGCACATTCTCCCACCTGCTCAAGGCTGAGCTGATGGAATGGGTGTGTGGGGTCTGGATAAACACAGGGCAGAGGAGCGAGAACTATCCTCAGCACCTGGCTCCCGTGGGCAGCTCTGTGGGGCACAGCCAAGGCTCGGTCAGCCCCTGGATGTGGGGAGGTCTGATCATGCTTTGCTGGGAGTTTTTCCTTTGTACCTCAGTATTAGGCCTCCCCAGATGGACCTGAGTGTTGGAATTGAACTTTCTGCGTCTGTCTACCTGGTGCCCAGCCCACTCACTCCACCTGTACTTTGGGCATGGAGGGGAGGTACTTGGTCAATGCTTGACATTAGATGATGGCAAAACCTGGTGTTGATAGCACTGATTCTGGCCAAAATGCCATATGCCAACTACCATATGCCAATTTGCCATCCATCTGTTCTTTCAATGATTCAATTCTTACTCCATAAATATTTCTTATCTACCATGTGCCCCAGTTTGTACTTGAGGCTGTGGTGACTCTATGCTATGGAGCAAATGTTTATGTCTCCCCCCATCTAAGTTCATATGTTGGAACCCTAACCCCCAACTGGACAGTATTAGGAGATGGAGCCTTCGGGAGGTAGTTAGGTCACGAGGGTGGAGCCCTCATAAATGGGATTAGTGTCCTCATAAGAAGAGACGAGAGTGCTTGTTTCTTCTCTCTCTGCTCTCTGCCATATGAGGACACAATGAGAAGGTGGCCATCTGCAAACCCAGAAGCAGGACCTCCCCAGACACTGGACCTGTCAGCACCCTGATCTTGGATATCTTGGCTTTAAAACTATAGTAAATAAATATCTGTTGTTTAAGTCACCCAGTGCATGTTATCTTGCATAAGCAGCCCGAACTGACTGAGACACCATATCAGACCAATGATGGATCTTTTCTTTGAGGAAAATACGTTCTTTTTAAAAAGTTTTGAAAAAAAATTTTTTTTGTAATTATTTTTGTAGATTCAGGGGGTCCATGTGCAGGCTAGTTACGTGGATATATTGCATAGCGGTAGGCGTCGGGTTTCTAGTGTACCCACCACCCAAATATTAAACATTGTACCCAGTAGGCCATTTTTCAAGGCTCAGCTCCCTCCCCCTGCCCCCTTTTAGAATCCCTAGTGTCTACTATTTTGAGGAATGTACATTCTTCCTTTCTTTTTTTTTTCCCATTTATTTTATTGCATTTTAGGTTTTGG